GCAAGTACTGGCAGAGCTGACAACTGCTAAGGCACCTGTTAGACAGAAAGCTGAACAGAACAATCCAAGTTTGCCCACTTGAATAAAAATCACGGTTTATATATGAATGAAATTTAATACAAGGACACCATCTTACCAAGCCCAAGGAACACAACCTCTTTCATTCTAATATTGGGCACCCCTCAGGTCTTTGTTCCTTCAGGTATTATTTCCCAATTGCTATATTGAATAATTGTTAACTGGATCAGGAATTAACTGTTGGATGTGCTTACCAAGATTAGATATTGCAAACCACTGAGGAACCTTGTGTATGCAAAGCACATGGGTAGCTTTGAAAGCAGTACACTGGTGCCTGGAGCAAGTATCTCACCTCTAAAGGAGAAGAGGACTAAGGCTGAGATAGAGAGCGGTGAGGAAAAAAGGAACTTCTGCCTGGCACCCAAAACAAGCACAAGACAGTAGGCAGTACGAGATACTCTGGTTGCTCCTGACCAAGCAAGATGAGTTTAGCAGGGTTTATTGGCTTGGTCTCTCATCGCAGTGCTAGTGAAAGGCAGAGGCAGCCCCAGGAGAACAACACACGGCAGGAACTACAAGGAACAGCACCCAACGGAGCACAAACGCTTCCAACTTAATGCAAAGCTCAGCTAAAAGCAGATTGGGACACGAAGATCCACACCAAAGCTTCAGCAGCTGAACCAAAGGGCAACGTAAACGTCTCCAGGCTACCTTCATATACCTACAGCCAGTGTAACAAGACTTCAACACTGCACTGATCCATGTGCTGATCACAGTGCATGGCAAATCCCACTCCTGGCACTTGTTAGGCTTACGAGGGGCTAATTTACAGCCTCACAAGTAACTGCTCCACGTCGTGCTTGCTGATCTAGCTCAGTCTACTCACGTTGACTGGCAGCGTTCTCCACAAGCCGCGCTGAAACATGGAATGACGTCCACATCGTGTCAGCCTGGGCCTTGCCCGAGGTCACCCTTCCTTAGGGACACTCTTGAAAGACAAGGAGGAACAGCAAAGAAGTGAGCACGGCTGAACGACAAAGGGAGGAGAGAAATCAGGCTCCCCATTAAGTCTCATCTTTATAAAAAACTCAAGCCTAGGATGAGACGGGGAGGCGATGGACCATTTTACGCCATCCTGACACCCTTTAAAGGCTTCTGTGATTATTTATCCCCCAAATATTCTGGTAAAAGACACAGGAAAACCAGCCCAGCCATCTCCAGCACAACCCATGTCCGTGCTTCTGCAGCACGCCGGGGGCTCCCCGGGACCTCAGCAGCACCCAGCCAGGTTTCACCCCCCGGTGCTGTGGCCTGGCACACCACCAGGAATTTCTGCCCTCCCTGAAGCCCAGGCTCATGGCTTAGGATCAGACAACAGAAAGCGATTTTTCCTCAAAACCACTGCAGCAGCCACAGCCCCCCCTCCCCACCCCCAGCCGGCAGGTGCCGAGCCCCCCCCCGCTCCTCGTCCTCCCACGACCACCAAACGCCGTGAGGGAAGCCCCGGCGAGAGGCAGCGCCCCTCGGGCACCTTCCTCCCGCACTCACCGTCCATCGCCATGGCGGCACGGCCCGGCACAGCCCGGCTGGGCTCGGCTCGGCCCGATGGCGGAGCCCGGCAGCCGCCGCTATAGCAGGGAGGGGACGCGGTGACCCGCACGGCGCCTCCCCGCCGCGGGGGGAGCCCCCGGGCCGCGGCCGCCATGAGGGGAGGGAGGGAGAAATAGGGGGTGTGAGGGGGGGACCGGTGAGGAGCCGGGCTCCGTGAGGGGAAGGGGAGTGTTTGTGTGGTGAATAGCGGGGGATGAGGCTACACTTGCTCTTCAGGTCTCTTCAGAGATGGTGCACCAGTCCCAAAGCCTCTTTCCACATGCGGGTGCCTCAGGTGTTGGCAATAAAGCACCAGTAAAGCACCATCTCCACCATCCCCATCGCAGCACCCAGCCCCTGTCAGAAACTGATCCAGACACACAGCAGGCTGTAGGTTAGCTTGTATCTGAGCTCATGATGCCTCACATGTCATTGCGTGTACAAAACTTTTCTAAAGAAGTTAAGCCCAATAACCCCAACAGCTGACAACCTGCGCTTATATCCACCATTCTCCATATCCAAGTTTGTATTTCTGTGACTGAAGAGGAACCAGGTTGGGGCCCGTTACACAAAATTCAAGCTTTTGCAAGAGAATTTTCCTTTACATCTGTTTCTAATGCAGTCTACCTACCGTGTACCAGAGAAAAGACTGACCCAAGCCCTTAAGCGCGGAGTACGATGGATCTTCAGCACATTGCTCAGCAGCTTGGCACAGTCCTGTGTCCCCTGTCCACAGGTAGGCTCACATACAGCTGAAGGACACAAGTATTCACTTACCAGGCTTAGTCTGGGGCCCATATTTGAGGACACGGCTGAACACAGGGTGAGAAAACCAGTACCTCACTCAGCTCCATGCGGCAAGCTTCATAAAATGTGAGTGGATGATTCCAGAAATTATACGAACTTTAGAATGAAACATTCCAGAAAGTGAGGGATAAAATAGCCACGACAGATTAAGAACTTTATTTCTATGAATGTGTGATAATATAAACCATCTGCACAGGGTCACATTATTTAAAATATTAAAGTACACGACTAGATGAAACCTGAAGGTATGCTCTAGTTCTCCAAAGGTTCTCCATCAGGTCTACCTCAGACAACCATCTACTATTTTTTCAATAGTGTTTTGAACTCCTACAGTAAAAGTGACTCACTTTGCTACAAGGCCAAGCTAGCTTCTTCACTGCAAAAATCTCTCATTATTTTAATAACTTCATATTGCTGTGAGTTGTATAGCTCTACCTCAGTGAACACGGAGAACAATTAATCACCACTTGCATAAACACATTATGTAGTTATGAAGACTATTACATTCACTCTCAAACCTTTTCTTTTCCACACTAAACTCTCCCAGGGCTTGTTTTCTCTTTGTTGCCCCCCATTTTTATTTTTATTTTTTTTAAGATTCTTCTAGAGGTGTCTACGTACTCCCCAAACTGCAGACAAACATACCGCCACTGCCATCCGTAACACTTGGAATTTTTCACGTTAGCACCACACTGCTGATCCACCTTCAGTTTGAGAGCTGCAAAACCCTCCAGACCGAGAACAGCTACTTAGTCAAGCATTCCCTACCTGGTATTTGCATTTAATTTGTCCTTCCAAGTGCAGCCTTTCGCATTTACCTTTACTTGTTTACACCTTGTTGATTTCTCCCATTAATAGAGTAAAAATTGTATTGGAAAATGTCTTCCACTTAAGCTGTTTCTAAACTGATGTCACCTCAAAGTGTTTTAAAGTATATTCTGCTTTTCATCATCCACGTTATACTTGTAAACATGGCATACCACACATTCAAACACCCACTTAGAAGATCCTTCAGCTTTGCTAAACACAAGGTGATTACTACTGTATGAATGTTATTCTTTAGCCATTTGTATATCCATCTTAGAGAAGTTTCAGCCAAACCGTATTTCTCTAATTTATATAGAAAAGCCATAATAGCATCTAGATACATGCTGTCATGCTGCTTCACCCTTATCTAGCAGGCCAGTTGGAAGTTAGACTGGAGTTACAGAGATGAAGTTATATTGAGGTCTTTCACTACTGTATTAGCTGAGGCTATAAGCAGGAGAGAAGTTGGATATTAGAAAACAGTATTCATGGAAATCTAGATTTACTGATTTTGTTGTTGTTTTTAAATGCTTTACTGAAGCATCTTAGGAATTCCTTCTCTTGTTTTTAATAGCCTGTGATTGCTCACCAGACTACAGCAAGGGAATTTATATATTTAAGAGATCACACCAGCATTATGAAATGTTGTTTACAGTTGCCTCAAAATTCTAAAGATTACTCTTTAGAAAAATTACCACTGCATATAGCCATCAGTCAAGTTTATCCTTAAGCATAACTTTCTTTTTACGTCTTTTATTTTATAAGCAAATTAAAGAGCACACTTCTTTCCATAATTATAATAGTAAAATAACTGCTACTTGAGTGCACCCGTCTTTGTGTGTATTCAAGCCTTTGCATGCATCAGATGTTGATCTGCAAATTGTTTTCGGAAGTCTGCAGGAGAACTCATGTCAAAAACTGAAAAATGCTCCTACTCAGTTCTTGGGATGGTTCAAAGATACAAAATGAGGCAAACAAGATGGTCACATAAAAAACTGCCACTTCAGGGAAGCATAAACAACACATGCTTGACAGAATAATAATCATATAGCTGAAAGGAGCATGTCAAGAAAGTGAAAAGTAAGTTCTTGTACATGTGTTTAGTCTTTAGTCTTCTTGAGAAAGAAACCTGCAAGTCAGAGGGAAATAGAGAAACCACCTTCAAGTTTTCCTTCAAGAACTTAAAATCCCATGGCTGGAAGACCTAGTTTAACCTTAGAGCCTAAGAACAGCAGAAGGGAACTGGTGCTGCGAAGTTCATCCTTAAACCTCCCAAGTGAAAAAACTATTAAGTGGTGAATTCGAAGCCATAAATCCAGTATATGCTAGGAAGAGTTCTGCATCTTTTTTAATAGTCCTGGGGTGTCCCAAGAGATTCAAGTTCTGTACTTCGCTGCATCTCATTTTCAAACTGTTCCTCTATTACACCTATACTGTTGTCCTGCAATGTCAGGATACCAGAGGCTTCTCAGTCAGCCTCCATATGCACAGCCAGAGCATTAGCTGGAGTTGACAAAATAGACAAAGGCAGCATTGCCCACAGGATCCTAACAGCATTACAATGAGCAGACAATATTGACCAAAAAAGGTCTAGTTGTTTTCCTTAAGAAGTTTCTTTACATCTCTTGTATTTGCTCATTAAAAATTAGGGGCAGAATAAGTTTGTGCTGGTAACAGAAAAGCACAGCCTTTATTAACGTCAGAAAATCCAGATAAAACCACATCATTCAAAATTAACAGGTATGATACCTGCCCACGTTTATAACTACAGATGAGTCTTTTTTTAACAAAAGACACATCTGTGGTACATTTTATCAACAGACTAAACCTAACAAACTCAGCACCAGAAGATCAATGGAAGCGGGCGTGTCACATCAGGAAAAAGGAATAGACACTGTTTATATGATAAATTTAACTGTAAATTACTTCTATGGAGATTTTGTTTTTCCTGTATAGAAGTACTCTTTTTCTGTAATGACCACATCTGGACAATTAATGACTTTTGGATTAAACAATAAAGTTGTTTGGTTGAATATTCAATTGTTCACTTAATTATACAATACATTCTTGGCTCTATTAAAAAGTATTTCCTCTTTGCCCATAAACAAAGTTTCCAGTGTAATACTAGTACTTAATTAGTAGTTTTTCCAGTATCCATCCTGTTCATCACTTAGGCCCATTCCTCCTTACCAACTAATGCATTTAATACATGCCTCTTTTATATTCAGACCCTTTATATTTACACTTCACAGCTTCTTCTAGATAAAGGCACTTCAATTCCTTTGGCCTTTGAGAAACCTGCTGAATTAATTCATTCAGCTTAGGCTCCTTTTACATTGAAAATCTTTCATATTTCTATTTTGTACTTCTTATTGTAGAAAAGGACACCCAAATTCCATTTGCCTTTCTTGACAGGTTGTATTTTTTTCAGCTCTGTTCAACTGGAGAAAAATACCAAGGAGAATAATTATCCACATTCTTCTTGAATTGTCATTGTCGTAGGGGGGTATTTAAGGCTATAGCCTCACAGGGATGAATTATGACAAATTCTAGTGCTTGTTGTTTACAGAAAATACACACGTACAGCTTATGATTCTCAGTCTTTCTGCTTTTTCTGCAGTACTGTTGCCTAGCAATCGTTTCTCTGTTCCATACCTGTCCTTAATACCAAGCTTCAAGTTTATTCCCACACCTATTTCCAAACCTATTTCTTCCACATCAGCATTCCAATTTATAAAGATCATTCTGAGTTCTAGTCATGCCCTTGTACAGCTCAGTGACATCTGCAAAATTAATAAATGCACGTTCTATTTCTTCATTCAAATATGTAACGATACCAGGTCTGCTGGAGACTTAGTACAATAAAAGACTTACCACCAATTCCAATTCCAACACCTGTGGGATCAGTGATAAATATTGCTAAAAGTTGCACAGTATAAAATGCAGCAAATAAACTGTGAAAAATGATTTATTGTACTAATTTTAAACAGTCAGTAAGCTTATTATGTTCACAGACAAAAGATTCCAAACATCTCTCATATGGGAAAGTTTTTCATGAGCTGTTCTTCCAACAGCCTCAGCTAAAAAAATTGTTGCAAGTCAACATGAGTTCTGAGTAATTACTCACATTGTACAAAGTAAATACAAGAAACAACCATCTTCTCGCTCTTCCCTTCTCAAACAGCATGTGGCAACTTCATCTCCCACAGGCATCACTCACCAGGTGCTATACCACGAGACTGCTAAGGTATAGCAGTCACTACCAATATCCCAGTGTCACCTGTAGCTCTGGTCCCAGCCATTTCCTACTGTACGTCCAAAGGCATCCAAACAAGCACTTTGTGCTACATCTGACATTTACAACTTGTCATTAAAATTCTCATTAGTGCTTCTCCAAGTGGATCCTCTAACGTCGTCTTCTCCTCTTGGGAAGAGATAATTCTGAAAGGAAATAAAAAGATTTTTCTGACAAGCTTTTCAAACTATCTTCTCTCATGGGAATGACTAAAGTAGAATTAATTCTGCACAGAAAAAGGAAATGAATTAGATGAGCTCTTGAGATCTCCTCCTAATTCCTCTCTGCATGGCTTTAAATATGAAAAAAAGTCCTTCTAGTTTCTATGGCATATGATATCATTCAAAATATTAAATACAACTCCACTGATTAACAAAGTACTGTACTTTTAAACTAATTCAACCTTGACAGCTTTCTGTTCCTCGTGAACTCTTAACATTTCATTGTTAATTTGACACACACAATACTCAAAAATTAAGCACAAAATTGCTTATTGGTATGTTTTAGCCCTTCAAGTTTACTGGCAAAGCTATCTGGAGAACTCCTGATTTAAAGTCAAAACATTTGGACATTAACAACTTGAAGGAGTAAATAAAATCAAATACAATATTAAATGCACCACTGTGCCTTCTTCAACCTGAAGATCTAAAAGTTGAATGACTTCAAATTGTCTACAGCTAAGGTGATCAGAAGATGTAAGTCATCTCAGTACCAAATATATTCTTTAAGAGAAGAGAATATAAATGTGCTACCTCACTATGAACATATTTTGATACTTACTATTCTCTTTTATATGAAAATATCTTTCTGTTTCACACAGTTTTTGATAGTAAGTTAACTTAGTATCTAAGAGGTTAGCTCCTCTCCCCGAGAGGCTGCCTGTATTTGAGATGTGGCCCCAAAGCAGAACCCTAAACTCTTCCAAGAGCCCTACTAAATGAGGTATCTCAAGAAAAGGATGATGCAGTTTTCTCTGGACAGCGTCTGGTCCATGGTACTTATGTTCCCATCAAGTGATAATGAGAACAGACACAGAGCAGTTTGAGATTAACATTATCAACATACACTAAATGCATTTGATGCTTCCGTACAGCAACTCCACCATCAGCTTTGAGAAACCTGGTTTACCAATGCTTCCAAATAAAATTTACTTTCTTTTCAGTGACACAAGTGACAGCAACGTCATCTATCCTTCTACCTCAGTTCCCAGATTCCTACCCCAACACTTCCAATATAGCGGAGAAAGCTGTTACAACATATGCATACTGGAACTAAAGCCTCAAAGCAGCTGAAACTAAGGCTAGAGGAGAAACTTCTACGTCCCTCACTTCCATGAGGGTGAAGGCAGCAAGGATTACTCTATCTTCAAGTGAAGGTTACAGAAGTTCCCAGAGCTACTACTGCAGGTATCTTTAACTAAGTAGGGACATACCCAAAAATCACTTCTCCTTATACATGAGTACTCTTCAAGGGAGATTTATATTACAGGAGAGTAAGCCATCTTATAACTGGACTAATTTTAACACAGCACAGTATAATGAATTCGATGTACAAAACCCACGATTCACAGGATTTTGCCATCCCGTGTGCTTACAACAAACCCTCAGAGCAAAGCTTCAATTTTCATGCAACAATTTACAGGTTGAAAACTAACCTAGCTTTTGCAAGGAAGCAAAACATGGTCCAAAATATCAGGTTTTGTTTCAGTAAAAATACAGCACAGTAGAAAGCTATTAAAACAAGTTTCCAGTTTGTTAGAATTTCAATCATCATACCTTCTTCACCTGAATTATCTTCTTCTGTGATTACAGGCATCCCGATGTGCTGAGTAACAGTTTCTTTTTCTGCTTGCATCTCACCTGCAGACATATTTTTAGGAAAAAAAGTCAGTTTTTTGTGTGTGTGTGTTTCTGCACCTCAGGTACCTCAGTTAAAAGACTGTTCTCTTGCTGCTATCTCAACTTCCCAGTCAAAGACTGAAGAAACACTGACATTTCAAAGCATCTTCATATGGCTCACTAGAGAAATCCTCAGTAAAAAGTTACTAACAATACAAGCTTGGAGCATACTAATCACCAACTCAGTTCAGAGATTATTCAAAAATCCTCTCCTTATTCCCTCTCCAATACGTTGCCTACTGTTCTGAAGAAAAATTGCCCAGTGCCCACCTCTGAAGAGGGCTGAATTTTCTCAGAAGCTCTTTCCTAGCAGAAGCTAAAAGTACATCAGAAAACAGACTTTAGAACTTCGAAATGAAATCGCTGCCTTCAAAGTAAAGTTTATGCAGAACTACTTTGTTGCTCAAATTTATATAACTTTTAATAGTAAGTCAAGTGATTAACTTAAGTGGCTGAGCAACTTTTATCAGTTTAAAAGAAAGACATCAGAAAGCTGATTCCTTCAGAAGACAAAAGCCATTTGCCATGTTTTCAGAACTAGGAGACAAAGATCAAAATAAACTCTTGGAAGACCGAAAAAAAGGAAGAAAGAAAAGAGATGCATAAGCAGTGATGTGCAAATATGTGGAAAGAAAGTGAAAAAAAAAAGCACAAATACAAAGGACATAAACGCTATGATAGTAAAATAAATCACTCACTGAAGAGTTCATACATGTCAAAGATCAGTAAAAATTCCCAGAACTATTTATGACACTTTAGTTTAACTATAAACAGCATGCAGTCATGTCTACCTGAGTAGACTGCAGGAAACAGACCAAACAGTTCAATAATTATGACAGAGGTATCACAAACCTTTCCTTAATTTTTTACCTCCACTAAACAGTAAAAATTTAACCCAGCTGCCTTAGCTAGCAAAGTAATTGATAAACTTCTGCAGCCTCTCCAGAAAAATACCTCTGAATTCCAAAGAACCTCTTCTAAGTGCTGGCTGCGGTCTCCTACTGTTTTTTCTACTTCGGCTTGGAGATTTCCTATTATCTGACCCTGATTCAGAAGATTCTAATTTTACTTGACGATGTCTTCTGGATTTGGAGGCCTAGAAGGTAAGCATATGCATAAATGATAAAAAAAAAAAAAAGTTAAAGGGCTACAACCTCACATTGCTGTAAATCACCAGTACTTAACAAGCAAGTACAGACCAAAGCATCAACTTCCTCCCGTATCAAAAGAAAAGGGAATGGAGGAAGGGAAGACTCCCACTAGTTACTGTTTTTCAGTTCAATACGACAACATTAGAACCGATTCTGTGATTTAATGAGCCCATTGTTTAAAATCCAGGTAAAGAAACATTAATTTATGCTCACTCTCTGTTGGCACCAACCTACACTATACTGCACACCACTGCATGTAAGCAAAGGGAACATTTCCAAAAACTGCTACATCATAAAGCTTATTTACTATCATATTTTTCTTAGGTGCCTAGAAAACAGTACCACTGCATATCCACAAGTCTGGATTGTTCATTGTAGATTCCAGAGCTCTTTTTCATTTAATAATGCACTCTCCAATAAGTGATTTAAATAAACAAGGAATTATGTAATGTTTATATAAGTCTGCCATAAAAAGGCAATTCAGCGATGTTTTAGAAGTAGTACTTATTGAAACAATGTTTCAAAAGTTTGCCAAGTGATTTTAAAACCCCAGGTTCCATTTTCAAAACCATCTTCACAGCTTCAAATACCTAAGCCTTGTGGAATTTGAACAATTAAAATCACAAGTATTTTTAAATTCCATTTACATAAAATACCACCTATTAAAAAGCAGAATACAGACATTAAAAGATATCCCAGAAATGAAAATCCCTCAGGCACAGACCATATTTCATTGCTTCCCTAAATCTAACAATAGTGAGGGCTTTAGGTTTTCCCACTGTGTTAGTTATGGAAACTAGAACGTGCAAAAGTTGAATTACAGAGTGCAATTTTAACTCCTTCCTTTCTGACAAATCACTTACATTGAACTGCTACTTAAAACTACTATTTAAAACCAAATACATCCCTATCATCAAGTTTTATATCTACCTCAACAACTGCAGAATAAGACTTGTATTTGATTCTAGCCAACGCACTTGCTCTTTCAGAACCCTGCAAAGAAACAAAAAAATCAGTCAGAAAAGTTTCCATGTCACAGCAATATTAAAACAAAATATTAAATTAGATTTGAACAATATTTCACTATAGTTCTAATTCTACAATAAATGCTAACAAATTGTTTCTTAATTAAAAAGCTCAAACTCCATTAAGAAAGCAGAGCATAATTTTGGTTGCCTTCACTTACATACACCAGTAAGAGAAAATAAAACTTGAAACTTCACGCTACTCGAATTCAAGGTTGCAACAAGCAAGTAAGTACAACACAAGCATTAAAAGTGGATACTGCATTTAGCTGAAACTCTAGGAGGAATCATAGAGGAGTTTGGCCAAGAAAACAGCTCTTTCCTGTACTTAGCTGAAAGAGCCATAGTTTTTTATTGCAAGTGTCCAGGAAACTACCACAGCAGCATATGCGCAAAGCTTAACAGAAGACAACGCAATTTAAAAAACAAATCCCAATCGCACTAGCTATTCCTGGAATTTACTTTGACATGAGCCCTGATAAATACCACTTCAGACCACTGTGATCTGAAGTTAACAAACAAACAGATTTTGCCTGTGCAACATAGCAAACAAGTTCATTCTTCTTACTTCTGATTCTAGTGAAGTTCCTTCTTCCTTTTTGTTTAGCACTTCATCAGCTTCTTTAGCATTGAGGAATAACTTCTGAAAAATATGGAAGAGAATATTTTTAAATGTCTATTGTTCACAAAACAGTTAAAAAAAATCAAGAATTCTGAAAAACAAAACAAATATTAAAGTAACCACAAATGCTGATTTTTTCCCACCAACATTACACTACAGCCTTTCCTTGACCCCAGACTGTTACAGAGCAATTTCCCACAGTCATTCTAATACTATCCACAAACCACTTCTTCCTTAAGGGCTTACCTTTAAGCAATCATTTACGTTATCACAGAGGCAATAAAAGCCATTGTCCTTCCCACCACACCATAACCCTGCCTAGGGTTTTACTTATTTCGTGTCTTCAGTGTTCCAGTTCCTCTGCTTATGTCTAAGATTTACAGAATATGTTCACAGGTAATGACACTAAGCCAGTTCTTACATGTTCACATAATCTGTTAAATTGCCACAGCATAACGGTTGGTACTACCTACCATTCTTTTTTGCTGCCATTCCTGATGTTCCAAAGTTATGTCTTTAAGAGTAACTACAAATTCATCCTTTATCAAGCTCAGGGCCTTGTCTGGCTGGGATTTGTCAGCTGATATGACACACTTCATTTTCTGGTAGTGCTCATGGATATTCATCAGCTCCTAAAACAAGAAGAGAGATGATTTTCAGGAAAAAGAAGATTACAGCAGTAGAGTGATACTAATGCTAATTGAACAAAATCAAGGTTATCTAAACTATTCTAAGGAGACCACTGCAGTAGAGAGGTGTTAGATTGTTTATATCAGTTCAGTTTCAGGGCGCCTAGCAATAATGTCACCTAGCACTTTCCCATTAGTCCACCAACTACAAAGAATGAGTACTTCTCATTATTTAAACTCAGAAAAAAGTATCTGCGAGAGTTGGTCCTTGGTACCACTGAGATTTCAGCCTGATATGGTAGTCTGTTTTCTCTCTGGATGAAGCATTTTACAGTCTACTCACTACTGTCATTTCACAGATTACTGAATTTTGTAGCACTGTAGTCAACCTTACTGATGATACATATTTGCTAGCAGCAACTGGAAAAATTATGTAAGCAAAGATATGCTACTGAGTCATAACGAGCAATGTAAGCTATACCCTGCTTGAATTATTTATTCACAAAAAAATTGTTACCTATTAAATGAAACCATGTTTTAAAAGGAGAAATGAAGGTCTGGGAACACTATAATCTTGCAGATCATTCATTTTCTGTTACAAGTACCCAGCTTCCAGCTAAAACTTGCAGACATACCAGAAAAAACCTGCTTCCCACAACCCATCATTTTCCATTTTCCTTTGCCTAAGTGATGGTTGACTATTTTTTCCCCTTCCCCTTTTACATCTTACTGAGGCAAAGCCACAAAACATTGGAGTGTACGGTACAGGTACCATATGGTACCAGCAGATACCACAGTTTTTCCAAAACATTCAGAAAAATTGCTAGCACAGACTACTACCTTTTTCTGCATTCCATAAGGTGACTCATAAAGGACAATCTTGGGCTAATTAAAAAAGTTACAACTCTTAGACAACAGAAAAACACAAACGGTCGTTAAGTTATTATTCAAAGTTACTGTACCTCTAACACATCATTAGTGATTAGGCTGCTAACTCTGTTACTTGGGTCTTTAAATTCTTCTTTAAATTCATTTTCCTGAATCTTCTTCTTAGTTCTGTAGTTTAGCTGTAACAGAAGACAATGCTTTGTAACTTAAACAGTCAACTTAAACTGCACCCCCTCTTGAAAAATCTTACTGCATATCCAACAATCAAGAGACGCTGAAAGGCATAGAATTAACTCATCAACAATAGCGTGCAGCTTCATTGTCAAGTGCTCAGCACTTTTTGAAAATGATTCCCTAATCAAGAATTTAACCCAGCAACCAAACTCAAGAGTTCACTGTTTCCACAAATTATGAGACATCTCAAATGTAATGAGAATATTTGATGCTGGAAAAAAAATATTTTCAAGCGAGATGCACACTACATTCAAACATCCTCTAAGCTTTATATTACATACCTAGTTGTACAAAGCAAGACATAGTACAGCTCAACCCAGCATGACAGCTAAACTAAATAAATTGGTGCTGTTGAAGTGCCAGCCATTGAAAGTGAGGATATTTTATTAAAAATTGTAAGCCAATAATGTAATAACTCACTAGCTTTGGCATTGCTGTGAAATGGAACGCTCTGGCAAGTCGCAGTGTCCTAAAGATGTATGCCGCATCATAATGCTGGGAATCTATCAGCTCTTGTTGAAATTTCAGGATTTCAGGCCAATCCTTTAGTGCAATTCTGATCTGCAACAAATCCATGGTATATTATTATACTGACATGCATATTTCAAAGAACAAACACAAATTCAGCTGACTGCTATGACCACATTGCACACACAATAATTGGATGTCTGGATGCAGCATGTCACGCGATCACAGAACTACAGAAAGGATCCTACTATAACACATTACTACTATCACAAATTTTACAGATAAGCTTCTTGTACTGTTGTGTTAAACATTCTTACTGCAGTTGCTGGCTATGATAGTGACATGAGTCCTCTACAATATCTGAGAAAGTTAATTCTTCATATTGAGGCGTCTGAAACAAAATGCACTCCTAGAAGGCTCCGATTCACCAGGTAATTAGGAAACAATACTTGTACCATGACCTGTTGCCAGTCAAACATTCATTTAAGCCTCTCTCTCATTTCTTGCTTTTCCTCCTCTCCCATCTACACTGTCCTCTTAAAGTTTGTTCTACCTAAGGTACCTTCCTTGATGATTCCTGGACTCTCTAACATTTACTATATAGCAGCTGTTTTAAATTTGCCTAAATTCTTCTCCGTAAAAGGCAGTGACTTCTCTGAAGTTGAGATATGAGAGGTAATGGCATCATTGTAAGACAAAAATTTGGACTCAATTGTTAATAATGCATACCACATACATGACAGTTCCTGAATAAACCACTTCTTACACTGATTTTTCAACTCCTTTTATATACTGATCTCCTCCCCTAAAAGCAGCAAGCAGGCATGTCATTCAGGCATTCAAACTGTCAACATCTTTATATATTCCACTTCTAGTTAACAGAAACTGGAAGTAATTTCACCTGCCTTCATTCTCTTGAAATTCTAAGGAATGAGTGGGGCTGCAATGGAGTTGTCTCTGCATTTGATGAGTACATTCTCAGGTCCCATTTTGAAAACTAGCCTTGTTAATTCCTTCAGTCTTGCAAACAAGATTTCTATGAACACGGCCACGATTTAAAAGGCATAAACAATATTGTAGTCACGACCATGTAAGTTCTCAAACCCAACGGTGTCTGAAAGGTTACCTTTTCCAAAAAGACCTTTTAAATTCTAAATATTTTTACATTAAGAAAGTGATAGGAAATACCCCACCCATTTCTGATGACAAAGCAGACAAAGGTACACAGAACATCTTATGTCTAGTCCCTCCTGAGAAGGAAACCCAAGAACAATTACCTTTTGTTTTGGCTGGCATAGCTGCGTATTGTAGAGCCCATACAGCAGGTACAGAGCACCAACTCTGATCTGGAAAGCATACGGTGGCAAGAAGTACTGCTGTGCCAGTTCTAACGTCTTCTTCGTGAGCTTATTCCTCTCCAGAGCTCTTATTCTACCACTAAAGTAAACAAAAAGGAAGCACGTTAAAAGCAAGCAACTATAAAAAGCACAGGCTTACAAAGTCAGTAAGGGAGAAGCAAGCACCACGGATTTGAAAACACATTACCACAGGGCTCAAGTTCTGTGAAGTGTTGAGAGGCCTCACGTACTAACCCCTTGTAGTGAGATCTGCAGTGAAAAACGCGATACCCCACGGTCGTGTTTTTTAATATCATTTCTTAAGGAGTGCACCAAGATCCTACTACTGTACTATTACTATTGTTCCAACCATCAGCGTTCAAACTCCGTGTGCAATTAGTACACAAAACAAACCGGCCCAGTACTCAATAAAACGACTGTTTAACCTTTTTTTCGTTGCCCTTTACCTGCCAAACCCTTCCCGGGAGCCCTCCCTGAGGGAACCGCGGCTCCCCCCTCAGCACCCGGGGGGGAGCCCGGCAGTGGCGGACCGCAGGACGGGGGGCATGGGGGGTCGGCTCCCTCCATCTCCCACTCACTGAAAGATGGTGTGGAAGCGGCGCTCCCTCCACAGCTCGGCGAAACGCTCGAAGCGGACAGTATCAGCCTCCTGGAAGGCTCCGAGCAGCTCCTCGCAATCCGCCTGCAGCCCAGGCACCGAGCCCGCCTCAGCCACCGCCGCCATTTCGCGCACGCTCAGGCGGCCCCCTCAGGGCGGTCGCTCATGCGCTTTTCCCCGCTGCCGGGGCTCTGCTACCGGGTAAGGGGGGGGGTTGAAGGGAGCCGGGGCTGAACGGAGCCGTGCCCGGCATGCACGGCCACACGTAGGCGGCGGGGCTGGGCGGCTGCCGAGCCGCACGTAGGGTGCCTGGGCGCGGCTTCGGCGAGTGGGTGCCGGCGGCGGCGGCTCTCCCGCCCCTCAGCCGCTGAGGCAGCCGAGGGAGCCCCCCGCGCCCCGCCGGAGCCCAGGTGGGTGGAGAGGGGGGAGCCCCCGGGGCCACCCTGCCGGGGATGGGTTGAGGAAAGGGGGTCCCGAGGGGTGCTGGGGAGCTGGGGAGAGCCAGCGATGGGGGAAAAAAGGGGGATTGGGAAGGGAGCGAGGGGTGCGCCTCAGCAGGGGGGCTGCGTACACCTGCGGGAGTTCCTCGTTGTGGGTAGGGGGTGGATTCACGGGTTGCTTTCTTAATGATGAATTAGGAAATTAATGATAAGTTTTGGTCTGCCGCTGCGGCGTTCCCCAAACCGGTTCGCCGTTAGCAGCAGCTAACCCATCCCGAGGCTGCTCTTTGAGGCTGGGCACTGTCAACCGCTCTTATAACCTCCACAGCTTTTGAGGTACAAATATATCTTTCTGTATGAATTATATTCACAAAAAGGCTCCAAAAAGCTGTTGTTAAGCGTCACAGATTGCTGCTTTCATTGACGAGGGGCAGGGAGGCTTTAGCAGAGCTGTTGCATGCGGTCTGGGCACGTTTCAGCAGCTGCCGGGGGGGAGCTACACCTGGTGGGGTTTTGGTTGTTTGTCTTCTGAAAAAAACATTTTTCGTCTTATTGACACATCATGGGGTGACTTCATTCCTTCGGGGCCAAGCCCGGCTCCTCATCAGTTTCAGGAGGAACTTCGTTAAAGGGAACAGAGCTTGGCGTTGCAGTGACGGTGTGTAAAGCTCGAGTGTGTTTTCGGAGGATTGGAATTAAAAGTGCAGCGAGCGTTGCGATTTCTCAGAGATGCTGTATCAAGAAGTGCTAGGTGGGTTGTTTTTCTTTATTCTAAGGCAGGTGGGGCTGCAAATCGTGACACTTTCATTCCCTAAGAGGATGTAAGACGTGGTGAGGACGAGGCTGTTGTGTGTGTGTTAATGCGTGATATGTCTTGCAGAAAATTCGGCTAACAATGTAAAGAAAATGCGGTGGAGAAAAAAGGCAACAAATTCTTGCAGAACTCCCTTTCTGTGCCATTTGCAATGAAATAGTGTTAATTTTTTAGGTTAATCAATCGTCCACTTAGTTTTCTTAACTCTCTAGTCAGTGTTTTCATTCAGCGCTCCTTCAGATGCTGAGTACGTTTTAATTGTTCCTTGAAAGGCAGGCTGTAGGTTACTGTATCCTCCTCATGTTCTTATTTAACTCCTAAATGAAGGGCTGAAGTCCTGTTTGTCCTATTAATTCCTAGCTTATAAGCAGCAAGTTAAGAAGCCATTCATCCTGCGTAGATATGGCTATAAATAACGGGTTTCTGCAGTTGCACACAGTACAAGAGAACTCACTTTTGAATGCCTTATGTGATTTAGATCATATTTGCAAATTGAAAACATGAAAATAAATCATGTTTTCATGGATTTTCATGAAAATGAATCATGGATATGTTTTATTAAACAGTGCATTTAAGCTTCCATGTGTGCAAACCCATCACTTCTAATAAGTAACGGGATCATACTCTACTGTGACAGCAGCTCTGAAAGCAGAACGCATGCACGCTTCTTCCCAGCAAAGCAAAAATGGGGCAATAGGTTTTGAATTTGTGCAATAGGAAATGGCATTCATTTAACGAGACAGTAAGAGTCGCAAGATGTTGTCAAATTTATTTGCATGTGGTGAGAGCAACTGAAAAATCACCTGGAAAAATCCTTTTGGATTTAATTTTTCTTTTGTTACTAAGGGTGTTCTTGACTTGTGTACCCAGAGGTTTCCTTTAAAATTTCCATCCCTCTGGCTCTGCATCTTCTCTGTAGCTTTCCCTGTGAGAGCCTATGCAATCCCTGGTGTCTGACTTATTGAATTGTATGCCTAACCTCTTCTGTTCATGGATGTAGTCTATGTAATTTAGGTGGGACCTACATGTGACCTTTTTATAAATGCCATTGGAAAACAGACCACATGTATGCTTAGTGTCAAAGTCTGTTGACTTCAGTAGCAGGTGGGTCACACCTCCAAACGTGCACGGAGTTCTAGTTGTGCTACACAGTGTTTGTGTTTGCCATCTCCATCTTTTAGAACAGGAATAACTGATGAACAGAAATCACAGACGTCACAAGTTAGAAACAAACCCTCTCTTTTATTGAATTTTATACTGTTACACAATCAAAAAGAAATACAATCACAAGTATGTCAAAATGTTTCAAGAGAAATATCAATTGCAATAGGTTGTACTTGGTTCCAGAAAAGAATCTCATTAAAATATACCACTTTTTCATGAGAGAATACTGCAATTATTCACAAAATCTACCATACTGTATAAATCCAGTAGCAAACTCTTTAACCTTTTGGTAACTTGGCAAGCCTTGCTCAAGGTAAACAGGGAAGCAGAAGGAAAAACGACAACGCATTTTTTGAATTTGGATCAAAATCACAGTTCTCCAGACTGGAGCTTTCCAGGGAGTCGAGTGTCTGATCGCTAATGGTACTTTTAATGAAAGCTGGATACCCAACTCATGAGTTCCTATGAAAATACTGGCCTTTCTACAGAGTACTCCTGGCCTGTGAAATGTTTGTTTTCATGCCGGGTAGTTGCAGTTTGAATAATCTGCATGAGTGCAGTGCCATCTGGGTGAGATGTGTGCGCTGTTCAGTAGCAGCTAATCAAAGGGGATGGGGAATAGACAACTGACCTCAGGCACAGCCTCTAGTGCCTGCTGCACAGCACTGGGGTGCTCCTGGCTCCCAGGGTCGTCAAAGGAAATGAGTCATTCAGCACTGTGACAAGGGACAAAGCCTGACAGCAGATACTAGTGGAACAGCCCACATCACATATCTGTTTAGCTGTTTAAAAGACAATTTAAATAATTAAAAATGCTATTAAATATGCACTGGTTTAACCTGTAATAATCAGCTATTTGATTCCTATAGCTTTATTTTATTGCAAGCATGTGAAGTTTTAATTGTTCTTTCTGGCCTCAGGCTGGGACTTAAAAGTAATTCATAATTACTCTGAGGGAGTTTGTGCGTACACAGGAATGGAAACTGATCCTAGTAACATAGTAAATTGCTTTAATTTTGTTTTCCAAGATCAATATACAGTCCAAGCTATCTTACTACACGGGTGGAAGGTGTGGTTAAGTGTGCACTTTGGACTCCAGACTACCCTTATGGAGTGTAACATCTGCTGTCCAGCAGCTCAGCTGTAATAGTGACTTCTTTGGAGCTACAGCTGTGGTTAATTGTGACTACTTTCAGGTAAAGGACTGAATGTCATCACCATTAAGTTCTGGCCAGAAAAAAGGCCTTTAGCTTTTAACAAAAACCCATCAGCATCCTTGATAAAACATCAGTTAGAATCCATATGCAAAAAATAATTGTTATGCCATGAGGAAGACATGGTGTGACTACTGCTGCAGTCACAACCTACTGAAAGCTAGCTTTGTTATGCTCAGCTTATGGGGAAATGATAAATTATCATGTTTCATATGCAAAAGCAAATACTACACCCAGCTGCAGTTTCTTTGTTATTACTGGTGAAGAATAAGTGCTCTAAGTTCCATGCTGACTTGCTACTTACTCAAAATTGCTAAGAAAACCTCTAGAAAGAAATATATTCTTCCTCCAAAGAAGGGGTAGAATCTAAGGCTATATAACCTGATGCTAAGCAAAAAAAAAAAATTAAAGCAGCTAAAAAGTCTACTTCCCAATTTTGTAAACTTGCAGCAGTTTTTATAGCAAAGCTGAGACTAGGCCAGAGCAGTTACTGTTACTTTTCCATGCTTTCTTCAGCATTTCTATGAGCTGAGTAATTGTTCTCAGTAACTACAGCACATCATTCTTAGTCATAAAATTAATTTAGCCATATTCTGGAAGCTCTAGCTTCCACAGGGGATGCCCTAATAATGAATGGGGGAGTTAGGGGAAGGAGGGGAACATTTGTTACATTTATGTGTAACTTTACAAGCTAGTTTTCAGGTTGAGGCTTTTTCTTTTTAATCTTCCAAAGTGCAAACCACTATGGGTACTACAATTCCTCCAAGGATTATTTATTTCACTCACTTTTACAAGCACTGTAAACAAAATGCTATGCCTCAGTAGGACGTATAACAAGAAATGTATGCAAGTGGGGAAGATTCTTAGACAAGATGATGCTCATTTAAATCCCTGGCTGCTGTCATTAAGAACAGAGATGATTCCTGCTGGCTCATAACCACAGATCATGCAGGTCACGTAAATTTTCCTTCTCCTTGTAATATGGATTTTTCTCTCATAACTCACTACCCTCTTTTAGTACATTAAAGAGGGACTCCAAAAGAAGGAGTAAGTAACAGAACTACTTCAAAGAGGACAACAGAACATTTCTAGTGGGAGATGAAAAAGGATAGCCTCCCAGGACAGGAAAGTAAGAAAAGCACAACCCACTTGTACTTCTCTTGTCTACAAGACTCTCCTCCCTATCTCAGCTCCTGTCAGTCTATGCAGAGCTAAGGATATGGGTAGCCCCTGCCAGCTGCTGCTTAACTTGGCTATTACAACTTCTGCTGCTAGAGAAAGCAATGCTAGGGGAAAACGTGCTGTCTTCAAGGCTTCACACAGCACACACACACACAGTATTCTACTGCTTTTATCCAAAGAGCTTTGTAAGCTTCGCGTACCAAAGCTTTATTACAAATCTTTAATACTGAAATATTAGGTGCGTATATATTCAAATTGTTCTCTACACAGATCTTGAGCTCTAGCTTAGTGTACCTTTGTGCTTTCCTTTCTCTATGGAACTTCTGCTGAAACTAAGAAGTATGCAACCACATTCTGCTACCAGTGCTTTACCTTTCTCTAAGTCAGTAGCTAGCAGTCTCCATGTAGTTTCATTAGCACAGCTGTGTCAGTTTGAAAAGTGCTTTTGCTTCAGTGAAACTGTAACAGTAATTTTAAAAGACAGGTTAAGCTTATGCACAGTTACATCGATTTCAAAATACTCTAGACAAGTTCAGTGAAACCAGTTTCCAAAATAAAAACACATTTTGTGACACTCCACATTTGATTTCTTACACTGAGATATGCTGCTTAAAATAGTTACGTAGGTATGAATGTACAGAATATCTTGACCCTATTTACACATTACAAGGTTGTATCAGTAGTATCATGTTTTATGACAGCAAAAGAAGTCACCTAGTCAAAGTTACTGAGTCAACAGCACAAGAAACTAGAACAACCTTTATCGTGGAGTACCAGCTTCATTTTTCATTGTGCAGTTTTGCAATTTAAAACAAATCATCTTTAATCGATCACTCTTGTGAATTTTACATTTCCTGCTTTCCAGTGTTACCTTGATAATGCTTCCAGAGACAAGCCTTTAAGCTGTTCGCGAGGAAGAATCTTTCCGCTCTGAAATAACACACATGCTGTCTTTGCACTTTCAAGTTTGCTAACTGGTGTGATAACATTAAAAAATTTCACGTCTTTGGCCGGCAGTAGTACAACACTGTCTAGGAGACTTTAGTACTGAATAGGCTCAAATAATTAAGTCGGAGATGTTACGATCAAAGCAAGGAAGCAGTGATTTCCAATGAACTCTAAGTTAAAAAGGGAACACGGATGAACGATAACCACTAACAAAAATATAAATTATCTCATCTTTCTCAGATAACACACTCCCCAAGGGGGCCTGGTCCACATATAGTTTATTGATGTAAGAAAACAATACAGTTAGTGTTAGATCCAACCACGAAGAGCAAAAGAATGAGTGAATGAAGGTTTTGTACAGTACATATAGGAAAATAAGATGTCTGTGACAACTATATATTTCTAAATAAAAAGGCTTCTAAATATATT